TAAGGATATAATAATAATAATTTTTTTCCTTACAAATTAAATAAAATATTTTATTAAGATAATTTTTTCTCCTTTAATTCGAGCAAATCACGCATTAAAATAAATAAAGAAATTATAAAAGATTTTTCATTTATATAGAGAGTGAAGCAGTGGTTTGTTGAAGCACGTGAGGGGCACACTATGAAAAGATATGCGAAAGATTTGGTGAGAAAAAGTGTGAGGGGACGCATGCAGATGCAGTTTAGAGCGCACTCATCAACTCCATGCAAACTCCCAATCATTGCCATCATCATCTCAACTCCTTATACATATTTTTATTCAATTTATTCCCAATTTCAAATGCTTTTAGATAGTTTAAGTGCTTTTTCTTACTTTAGCAACATTATTTTTATTAAAAATTATGAATATAGGTGGGAACATTTTTTTATATATGAATTTTTTTCAAATTCAAAAAATATCAGATTTTTTATACAATTACGAGAATATGAATTTTTTAAAAATCGTCACTAACTATATTTGTCAAAAATTATTACCACGACTTTTGATGTACTTTTTAAATATTTAATTATTTTTTTAAAAATTGCTATTAATGATTTTTAATTTTTTAATATTTTTCTTTAAAAATTATCATTATGACTTTTGAAATTATTTTTATTTTTTTATCTCTGAATTTTTGTATCACGTCAAAAAAACGATTTTTGAACTTCATATTCTTATAATTTTGCAAAAAATTTCATATTTTTAAAATTTTGAAAAATAAAAATCATATAAAAAAAGTAGCCAGTTGTATAATTATTCTTTTTACTTTTTTAATTTTATTAAATTTTAGTTAATAATTAAAAACATATTGTCACGGTTCAATTTTAGTTAATATTAGGAATTAAAAATAAATTTTTTTAAGAAAATAAATACCAAAAAGAATTTGTTTGAAAGGACTAAAATAAAAAAATTATTAAAATATGAAAACTAAAAATAAAATCAAAGAGTCTTAAAAATATGTATTTTTTATTTCACTTTCCTTGTTTTATTTTTAATTAATATAAAAATATTGTTTAAGTAATATTATAAATTTAATTTTGATTTTAAAATTTTTTAATCAATATTTTCTTATTATATATTACTTTTGTACTTTGATTTTGATTAGAATTTAGAGAGATTTGAGTCTTATTAAAATAGAGCATTGTGCAACTCTAGCAATGATTCTAATTCTCTAGGTGACATTGGCTCCAAAACCCCTTTAACATTTTGGCAAGTAAGCAAAGCAATACCATGTTTTGGACGGTTTCCTTCTCCTTTTTACAAGAGCTTCCTTTTTTCTTTCATGGAACTCTTTATTTACGTTAGGCAATTTTTTTTTAATCTATATGAGATAATTTTTTCTTATTTTTTTATTATCTTTTACTTGATAATCACTTCTTTTTTTTTTTTTTCTATCTGATTTAATCTGAATCTAAGTCGGATCACGTATCTGGATGTGGTGAATAAATCTACCACTGAAGATTTTTTGTATACACAAAAACTTAAACCTAAAATCTTATTTAAGTAATATTGAAATGCTTGTTATTCAGACTAACCTCCGTTGATAATCACTTTCTTATTTAACCTTTGATTATTATTCTTTTTTCATTGTATTTCTCCCTTAGAATCAAATCTATTAAAGCAAACTTATTCCTCCTATAGTAGCACTTTTATTATTAAAATATTTATTTGTTTTTATCTTTAAATTTTATAATATTTCCTCATATATCACGTGAAGTGTGAGAAAATCGTTATATTCAAAGTTTTCTAAATAATTTGAAAGTTAAATAATAGAGATAGTTTTAGAGATAATAAATATAAGTTAAAGTATTTCACATTAAATAAAAAAAAATTGAACAATATATGAGTGACAAAATTCATAACCTAATGTTATAAAAAAATTTAATTTAATATTAAATTTAAGTTTATTTATATGATTTGTTCATAGTTTATTAAAAATAATTATATTTTCTACTATTCTGTCAAAGTTCTTATATATATATATATATATATATATATATATATAAATCTGATTTTAGACTGTTGTTGAATTTAAATTTGAGTTTACATGCTTAACATTTTTTATTTGTCTATAGTATATATTTATAATGCTCTAGGAATTAAATCTCATGTATTTTATAAATACCATTAAACATTTTTAATTAATAATCTTTGACAAAAAAATATTGACTCGGTGTCTTAATTTATTGTTAGTTCAATGAACTAATAATTATGGGTTATTTGTATATTTTCCTTTTTTAAATCCAAAATTTATATTTGTAATTAAATTTTCACATATTTTTTATTATTCATACATGGCTTAATGTATATAATTAAAATAATTACTAACCTATGTATTGAATTTTAATATTTAATTAAAATGATATTTAATATTAACTCATTAATGTAAGTAACTCATAAATTTAATTAAACAGCATTTAAATAATTTTTTTTAACATGTTCTTTTAGCCAGATTTGAACTATGCTTAACGTAAATTAATTATTTTTTATATACCTTTAATTATTAGATAAAATTTATTAAAATTTCAAAAAATATTAAAATAAAATTTTATACATATATTTTTATATATAATTTTTAGTTAATAATTAAAAACATATTAAAAATATATATTACAAAAATATGATGCTAATTTTTCTCTTATCTAAAAACACATGTCAATGGAGGAGGGGAAGGAATCTTATCATCTTCACCCTTGAATTACCAAGAAAGTTAATGAATCATTAATAAGCAATGGTGGTAAAATATTTGCCAATATTGGGTGCTTTCCTTTGTCGACCATGTTTCAAAAATAGGAATGGTATACAATGTGAAAGTGACCATATTTTATTATATATATTAAATTATTTTATGATTTATATGATAAATTAATAATTAAGATTATGATAAAATATACATATATATTAAATTAATAAAATTTCTTTTTTTTTCTTTAAGATAAAATTTGCTTTCATCGTTTAACTCTTTTTTTTTTTAATTTATCTTAATCTTTTCACTCTTAATAAAATTTCTTTTTTTCCTTTAACTTTTAGATAAGATTTAAAGAGAAAGATGATAAACAATAATGCACGAAACAAACGACTAAATTTCTTTTTAACAAAGTTAAGTTTTTTAATACAAATAATTTATTTTAAACTTTTTAAAAAGTTATAAGATTAAAATAAACAAAAAAAATAAGAAAATAAATTTAAATTTTACTGTAAAATTAATAGAAAAAAAAGTAATTTTACCTATTAAATTAAAAATTTATTAATATTTTATTAAATAAATAATTAATAATGTTAAATAAAAGTATTCAAATATGTAGGTTGGGATAACCTTAAATTGATACTTTTGACTCTAAAATCTTGATAAAGTTATTTGTTTATATTTGAACTTAACTTAGTCAATCTTCAATAATGTATAGGATAAAACGTTCAACTCAATTTATTGACATAATAAACAAATTCTATTTCCTTCATATAAAAAAATAGATCAGAGAATTAAATAAGTGTAAAACTAAAGTACATCATACATATTTAAAAATAAATGCTTTAAATAAAGGCTAGGTTGGTGAAATGGTAGTATTTTATGCTATAAATACACTATTTATTTTAATATATTAAAACCATTTTTATATATTTGATAATGAAAGTACGATGAATTTCACTAAATAATTTATGTTTATTTTTTTAATTAGTAAAATTCTAAAATTGATAATTTTTTTTACTGTAAATTGATGTCTGAGGTTCCTACAGAGATGCAATTGTTGGAGTGGTGAATTGACGCTGCCATGTCATGGAATAGCCATGTCACACTCATTTCACAATCAGCTCAGTGGGACCCACCTTGAATGATGGCACATGAATATCTCATTCATCATCATCATCACTATCATGAGGTCATGATTCGAACTCACGCGATTTCACCTCAGAGCGCGTGAGCCTCATCCCTCTCGTCCACGCGCAATCACGCGTTCTCTTTTTCATAGTCAACAGTCAACCAGCAAAAAAATACTGCTTTTCTTTCTCAACGGATCACATACAACACGACAATCATAAATAACTAACTAAATAAATAATAATATTAAAATATAATATTCCCACATGTTATTAATATACATAATCAATGATAATAAATTTTATCATTATCTTTAATTTTTATATTGATGGTACACTATTTTTTTATATAAAAGATAAAACTTAAATATAATATTATAAATATTATTTTTACCAGGCTAATAAATATCTTTAAAATATTAATTATTTTTTAAATTATTATATTATTATCATTATTTTTTCCTAGACTCGTCCACAAAATTATTTTTCAAGTATTTATTATCATTAATTTTGTATAAAAATAATTTATTTGTTAAATTTTTAATTAATAATTTTGTTACTTTAAATTTTTAAGTAAATTTTTATTAAAAAGTCACTTACATTGCATCTTTTCAATCACTATTACATTTTGAAGATTAAAATTAGTAACAGTGATTTCCTGTTTAACTATGTAAGTTAACATTGGTAAAGTTAGGTAACAGTGGAACCCTAAGGAGACTTAAACCATGGAAGATTGGAGTGGTAAAAGAACCATGGTTAAAAAGGAACAAGATTTGGACTTATTAGAAGCATGAAAACCAAAAGCAGGTAGTAGTGTAGCTAATAAACTTTAAAGGGTAGGAAGATAGAAGGCAATTTACATGATGATTGAACCAAATTGGTACTCTGACACAGGTCATCATTAACTCTATAACTATTCACTATTTCTATGTGCATCAATCTCTTTCATCACTGTCCTCCATAGTATCTATCTATATATATCCTTCTCTATTCTTTTACTGTTCTGCAAAAAGCTAAAGACCTGTGATACCCACTGCCTCCAAAGCCTACCCTACTCCCCTTCTTATCACCATTTTGCTCTTCTCTTCTTTCTCACACACTCCAAAACCCACTAAGCTTATTGTTATTATTATACTTTGGTTTCTTTCTCAAAATTACAATGGGTGAGAATCATGATGATGGGTTGGGTTTGGGGTTGAGTTTGAGCTTGGGATTTGGAGAAAATGCAAGTAATCAGCCCAATTTCAACATGCACAAACCTCCTCAATCTGTTCCAAACCAAAGGGCTTCCCTCAGTAACTTGTTCCATTTTCATGGTACGTGATTCTTCTTTCTTCGTCTCTCTCTCATTTTTCATTCAAAATTTCGTGGTGACAACACCTTGTTCCATTTTCATGGATTTTAGATACCTTCAAATGTTTATCATTATTTTTTTTTTCATATGAAGAAAAATCATTCCTTTATTATTTTTTACACATCTTTCGTTAGAAAAAAAGAAATACCCATTTGCCAATTTTTATCTTCATGGGAGGAAGAACACAAATCCTTTTTCTTTTTTCATTTTACTTTGAAATTTATGGCTGAATTAATTTTTTCTATTATTTTTCTTTTCGTGTGTATTTCTGTTAATACTAAACTCCTTTCCATACGCAAATCATGCAACGAACGACACTGTTTTTTTTTTTTTTTAATTTATGAATTAAATTTGAATAATAATTTTGTACGGAAATACCCTTCAATTTCTTTGTCAATGACGCGTCTGCCACTAACTCACTCACGTGCGTCTCACGTGGCAGATCGGAGCGCCGAGACGAGGTCGTTTCTCCGCGGAATAGACGTGAACTCGGCGGCTACGGCGGCGCCTGTGGCATGCGACGACGAGAACGGGGTTTCGTCGCCGAACAGCACGATATCGAGCATCAGCGGGAAGCGGTGTGAGAGAGAGGGCAATGGAGACGAGAACGAGAGAGCGTCGTGTTCTCGCGGCGGAAGCGAAGACGATGATGGAGGAGGATGCGGCGGAGACGGAGACGGTGACGGAGACACATCGAGGAAGAAGCTGAGGTTGTCGAAGGAACAAGCCATGGTGCTGGAAGAGACTTTCAAGGAGCACAACACTTTGAATCCGGTGAGTGAAGGGTAGGGGCATTTGTGTAATTCAATTGCAACGTGAGGGCATATTTGGGATTGCATTTATATTAATTGTGACTTTTGAGAGTTTTTTTTTAAAAAAAAACAAAAAACAGAACGTGTTTAAGAACTATATTAAGGGATTTCTTAATTTAGCTGATAGGGTCGTTTTAAGTACTTACAGATAGTAAATTTTTTTTGAAATATTGTATTTTTATATTCCTATGATAATAAATATTCTTTATTTAATAAAAATTTCCCATTTTTACTTGCATAACACTTTTCCTATACTAAATGAGAGCAATTTTGAAGAGTTATTATTTTTCTCATTATGTAACTTTTCATATATTAAGCTTTTAATATTTTTGAAGTATAATTTTAATTTATGTGAGAAAACTCCTATGCTAATTTCTAACAGATATTTTAATTCTTAAATTTATATAATCTTTATTTTAGTGTCTAACTTTTTGAAAAATGTCCAATCTTTTTTATGCAAAATGACAATATAAGATGAAGTGGAAAATGATTCAAAAGTACTTTTTGTAATCAGGAACTAGAATTAGAATATTGTAAAAACATAAATTAAAATGAATGAACTTTACAATTTTAGGCTTAAAATAGTTTTTTGTTGTCTAAATTATATATTTCTAATAATTTTTTGTGAGAACTATGATTCAGTGTTGGCATTTGGAGAAGTTATAATTCTAGCAAGTTTTATTTATTTGTAGAAACAAAAGCAAGCATTGGCAAAGCAGTTGAATCTGATGCCCAGACAGGTGGAGGTGTGGTTTCAGAACAGAAGAGCAAGGTAAGATTTCTAATTTAAGGGTCATTATTGAGATTTTGTACATGAACATAAGAACATTAATTAGGTTCATATTTTGTGATGTGGCATTGTTTATTGTCCCTCTTTAAGTTCCTGTAACAGATGTATGCCCCACTTTGTTTTGATCTATTTAGAAGGATCCGTTAGTTCCTTCATCAATGATGTTCCTCTTTACTGAAATTTAAAGCACAGATCCAACATCAATAATGGGATTTGACCCATTTGAGAGTGATCAACAACACAACTTTTGTGAGACACGAAAAGATATAAAGTAGATGATTTAGATAAAATTTTGAAGCTAAACACAACCATTTGTAAATAATTATCACGGGGCCCACAACACGCACATGCATGTAGTTATTTGGTGATGATGGATTTTGAAGTCAAAATTTGGAATTAGTGGAGTCCTGTTTGTTCATTTTTCATGAGTTGATAGAAGTACATGAATTTCTGGCATTACAATGACAAATGATAAACCAAGTTTGAATTGCAATAAAAAATCGGTTTTGTTAAAATCAAACTCCTAGAACTGATTTTAAACAACTGCAAGTAGAAGGTTTTCTAGGGAAAGAAAATATTTTTTACACTTTCATATTTTTTATGTAAGAAGTATTTCTTGTGTCAAGAAAAAAATTTCATTTATAGTTGCTAGAAACGAGTCATGTTAACAAAAGGGATGAAAAATTGATGTGGCTTTAGAAACTGATGGTAATGCTTTTGTTTCCATAAATGCAGGACCAAGCTGAAGCAAACTGAAGTGGATTGTGAATACTTGAAGAGGTGCTGTGAAAATCTAACTGAAGAGAATAGGAGGTTGCAAAAGGAAGTGCAAGAGCTTAGGGCATTGAAACTATCCCCTCAGCTCTACATGCACATGAACCCTCCCACCACTCTAACAATGTGTCCTTCATGTGAGCGAGTTGCTGTCTCATCTACATCCTCCTCCTCAGCCACCATGCCCTCTTCCCCGGCTCTGGTGAATCGCAACCCGCTAGGCCCTACCATCCAGCGGCCGGTGCCGGTAAACCCTTGGGCAGCAATGTCGATTCAACACCGAACCCGGCCATAATTGTTCACTCCTGGTCCTGGCTGTAGGGTAAAGTTGAGGATGGAGACTGGGACATTTTAGCTGCTAGAGAGAAATGAATGAATGCAATTGGACTGGCACTTTGTGTGTTGGTTTACTAGGAATTGAGGTGATGACTATGGTTGATTTACTCTTCTTCTGTCTAGGCTTATTTTATTTTGGGCCTAGGTAGAACATGTTTTAGTCAACTTTAGGATGTGTAAAGCATGGACATGTTAAAGTAGGTTGTGTTTTCATATGCAGAATAGTTTTTATTAGCCTTGAAAAGATGAAAAAGGAGAATTGGAATCTGTTTTATTTTTTAATTTATTATTATTTCTTTTCATAGGATTTGTCAATTGTCATACCACATGGTGAGAAAAGGTGGGATTTTGTGCAAAGATTGGAAAGGGGACAAACTAAGGGGATTCCCATGAAGGGATGACTGTGGTCTCAATTAGAAATGATTTTGTCTATCTTTTGCAATGATTCCCATTCTTTTTGGTCTGTATACTTGAACATGGGTTTGGGTGAGTCAGATTGTGGGACTTCACTTTGGCTGCTTCTGCACTTTCATTCTCCTAAGATGTGGATTTCCAACACCATTTTGCAAGTGCTGACATGTAAGTGAACAAAGGTAAGTGTGGATACGCACTAGTGACAGTGGTTGCATCACATGTGCCTTTCAAAGTTAAAGTTTCCAAGGGAAGTAACAACCACAATCAAAGCTACCATGGCCCGTGACTACATTTTGCACCAATCTTGTTTTTGAGTGTGGATCTTTTCTGGAAATTGGTTTTATGTTTTTTTGAGTTAGTATTTTTTATTATGTTTTCATTATCAAATTTGTATACGAAGAATTTATCTATGTTGCTTGTGCTGTGTGTGATTGGTCCCACTAACAACCCTTCTTCAGCTACACTTTTTTCTCTATCTGGTATCTTTGGTTTCTCTCATTAGCCCACTTGTAAAAAAAGTTCCACATAGAAACATCCACATCTCAGTTTCACCAAGTTTTCAATAATATTTGAATAGATAAACTTACATATTACGAACTCACCTAAATAAGTGTATAGATAACATTTATACTTTGCTCATAATTTGATGTTTTGTATATTAAAATATAGTAACTTTTTTTTAAAAATATTAACAAGGAAAAAACTTTCAAACTTCATATCCAAGAGTTGTTAAAGATAAAATTCCTACAAACACACTTGTAATTTCGTTCTAAAACAATTTACAAGAATAAGAAATATAGAAAAACTATTAATTATTTTTTTTTGCAGATATTGTAATGGTGCCGTGAAAGTATATTTTCATTTTTTTAGTTACTAAACTATAAATATATATATTTTTAATTTTAATTAATTTTAAACTATTAAATTAATATAATATTTTATACTAATTTTGTCTTTTATGAGTTAATTTCATCAGTGTCATTATTTAAGTGATGAAACTTCATTAGTTTTACGTCAGGTAGGTTTACTTTATTATCTGACCGTAATCTAAATTTATCGATAGCTTGAAAGACTAATTTGAAAAAAGGAAAAAAAGAAAAAACAAACACAAATCTAAGGATTGTTTGCTTCTGTTTTGGTTTTTAATTTTTAAAAATTATATTTAATTTTTTTAAAAAACTGTTTTTAAGAAGAAAATAAAACTTATATCAACAAACAATTTTTATTTTATTTTACTTTTAAAAAGAAAAACAGTTTTTAAAAACAAACATTTAAAAGGTTTAAAAATTAATTTAATAGTTGAAAGAAAATTATTTGAAAAAACTAGAAGACAAATTTAAAACTAAAAATATTGTTAAAGAACAACTTAAATTTTTTTAATGACTTAGTAAATTATTTTAAAATAAAAATTTAAAGAAAAAAAAATGTAATTTGTTACTAGTATCCAAAACTATATATGCATTTAAATTTCAAAAAGCCGACTTATATATGATATATACCATTAATGCTCGCAATTGTTGCATGAAAATACCAGTAACCTTCTCTTAAGCATGTAGTTGGATGCATATTTGGTGATTAGTAAATTTTTAAAATGTATCAAATGCTAAAAATACAATTTTTAGACACACTTAAATAGTCTTTTAATTTTTAAAAACCAAAATAATTTTAAAAAACGATCAACTTAAGAGATATTTTAACTTTTTAAAAAATTAACTAATCAACAAAAGTATATCACAGAATATATTATAAAAAATTGTATTGCTAGTATTTTTCTTCGTTACATTATCAAAGGTAAAATGCTGAAGTAATCATCAAATGTTTAATGTGATATTTAAGTAGCGATAGTCCTCTATGAATCACTCTCTAGTTTTGTCTCCAAGCCAAGGTTCCCCAGTTTTAACTCCTAATCATCCCAAGAAATACCCGAATAATAATAACTATTTATAAAGGAAAAGAAAGGATGAGTAAATATTAGACATTATACTAAAGTATTGAAAATGGCTTGTCCATACGTATTGTGAGAATGTTGGAGGTAAATTATGATGTTACAAACTCCTCTAAATGTTTTAAGTATTTCAGATTTCTCAGTAAATCTTGAAAAGTTATAATCATCTTAGTTTGAATTATAAACAATTTCAGACTAGCAAAACCACTAGTCTTGCAAATTTCAATATTAATATATTTCGCTGATATTTCACTACTTTGATTGCTGTCGTCATACAAACACATCATAAGATAAATCAAAACAACAAAGGGAAAGAACAAAAAATTCCAAGAAAAAGGTGGTCCAGATATCAAACTGTATTTACAGTATCAGTTAGGAAACGTAGGATGCAACCCAGCCCTGCTCTCTCTGTCAATTTTTCGTGAATCCGAAGACATTGGTCGCATGTCGGACGATCTCCAGTAGCTAAGCCTCTATACAAGTACCTATGGCAAATAACAACCTCTTAGGACAGAAAATGGTGTAAGAATCATACCTTAAACACCATTAGTCATCTACTATGATAACTATAATGTTAAAAATAGCTCTCATTTAACTTTCTTAAAATCCAAATTCCTACAACTAAAGGGTAATGATAAAAGTGCTATTTCAAATAAATTAGATTCACCACTCACACAAGTTCCTACTTTTATATAATTTCAGATAAATTGCAGCTTTTGAGTCGTAGTTTTTATTCAGATTCCAAAATTTTCAGGCCCTCATATAATTAAATAAAATTACTCTTTTCCTCATTGCCCATCTTTTCAAGTAATATTATAAAGTGTGAACTTAATAATTAAAATCTTAATATGGAGTTTCCACAGTTTTAATACTGTAACTAAGAGTAGGCAATGGCCCACATAAACCTTGCCAGTCAAAGCGGCCCATCTCATTCAATATTATATTGAGGCCTCGGGTCTAAAATGTGACCATTTGAATCTTATATGTAGTTAACACTAAAGTATGATCTGCATTTGCAATGTAATACATGCATATTTCTTTCTGGTGTGCTGTGTGCAGATGTTTTCCTTGTAGCATGAAAATGACACATGGTGAGGTCTTGCAAAACATACAAGCACAATGCAAATGCCGCAAAAAACAAATTGAGTTACTTTGTTAGATTTCTTCAAACACCTTTTAGAGAAATATATCCATTGTGCAATTAGGAAATATTCCCATGACCCATCTCTATAAAGGCAAGACAACACAATTTGCAAGGTTCATCTGTTTTTTATACAAGACAAATGTAGGACATGGGGGTATATAAAATAAATATAATATTCGCTAACTTTTTAGACAAATGTGTTACTGACTAATAAAACCCATCATGTCAGGTTCATTAGGCTGGCCATAGCCCAGTATTGCTAAGAGAGTAAAAGAAAAATGATACCTAACCAACAACTTTGGTATTGTGGGCCAAAATAGCTTGTTTAGTCTTCACTAGAAGACTTACATCTCAAAGTTAAGACTAACTAATAATTTCCTACTAATAGCTCCTAGAAACATCGGATGTAAGCCTGTAGGAAAATGATTGCGAATGATTTAACCAATAGCAGACTGAATCAGAGAATGATGATTTTACCCTACACTGAGGTCTTTGATGATGTGCAAGGAGAATAAATGATTCGTGTTGCAAAAAGGATGCCATGAATAGGTTGATGCGGAGAATGGGCTATCTGATTGACAACAAGCTAAAATAGATTGACAAGGACTAAAAGGTGGGAGAAGGGGTGTGCTAATTCTACTAAATTTCACAAGGCAGGCTAGTGGGAGAAGATAGAGAAGTTGTATTAATCAATACAGTTTTTAAATATCTCAATTCTGACTTCTGAGGTTATATGCCTTCCGCTTCTTTTATTGGTGGGTAGGATTGGAGTCCTGTTGCTGTGGATAAGCAATGAGCTGCAGATTACAGAGGCCTTTTGAATTGAAAGTGACAAGGGCTACCTGGGATACGCATAGCAAGAAGACTCGTAGATCACTGACTACGATTGCTATGCATTATCAATGATGGACCCAGAAATTTTTATGTTGTGGGGGAATCACGCATGTATATAAATTTGTGGGGGCAATACAAATACCTATATATACATAATACATATAATATAAAGGAAAAATTAATAATTGTGAGGGCAATTGCCCCAAAAACTTTATGAGTAGGTCTGTCCCTGCTTAACATCTACTGCAACCTAATTCTAGAATGATACTACAAGCATTTTAGTTTGCAGATGAACCATGTTTGGGAATGAATGATCCAAAACATGGTACGCTGGGGAGATTACCATACCATGCAAAACTAGGAAATACTATATACTTCACTCCAAGCATTTATTTATGTTGAAGGTAGGAATATTCTAGATGCAGCTCTTTTGGCTAATAAAGGACATTAGGTTCTGGAAAGAGATAGACTTAGTTTTCTTGTTGGACTCCCACCTCTGTAGTTATGGTTAATGGTTGACCCAGAACTAGAGCTTTGTTTTGAGGAAGGAAGGTGTGTGACAAGCTGAACCAATATTGCCCCTTTATGTTCACTGTGGTGATGAATGTTTTCAGTCACCTACTAATGAAAGGTTGGAAGTGAGGTTATGTTAAAGATATTTGGTGGAATCAGAGAGAGGAGGTATCCCTTTTGTATTGCAGACAATACTGTTTTTGTTTTTCTTCCAGAAGACACATTTTCAGAAATGTCTTGATTTTCACTTAAGGTTTTCAGACTTTAGAGGATGTACATGATCAGCATATTAGTCTGAGTAATGTTGGATGATGAGTTGAGGAACAATATTTGTTACATATCCCTATCTATTACATGTCTCTTTTTTTAAAATTATGTGGAGGTGGCTCAAAATCAAAGGTCACCTTACCTTTTGTCTTGCAGGAGATATGTTATACACCTATGAGAGATGGTGGTTTAGGCCTAGGGAATTTGGTGTCTAAAGTATTGCCTCTGTGGCAAAATGTCTATGGAGCTTCCCTTTGAAACTTCATTCTCCTCGGCATAGGTTAAAGGGTGTAAGAATGGATGTCATCAGAATGGGTAAAATGTCAGGCCTGGGCATTTGCTACCCACGCAAGTGCTGGAAATTCAATTTGTATGCATACTCCTTAATGCTTTTCTCTCCCTCTGTTTTCTACTGATTCACTAATCCTTTGAATTTCAGCCTTTTTTGGGAACCTTAATAATCAAAAGACTTCTTGCTTTCTTTGCTGGGAAATCATGATAGTGTCTCTGTAATAACATGGATGGTAGTTCTTGCACTTTAGGTCCATCAGGATCTTTTACCTATAAGTCTATTTTTTCAGTTTCTTATTTCTAATCGTTGTCCACATACACAGAATAGCTTTAATTAATTGTTTTTGGAAGGTTAAATATCTCCTTACAGTAAAGAATTTTGTTTCAAAGCAATATTTAATAGAATAACACAAAAAATGTCAAAAAAGTAAAGATTTCATAAGGCCCTGATGATTGTATCATGTGCTTCAAATGTTCTGAAGCCAACAATTACCACATTGTGTTACAAGGAAGCTTGGCAAATGACAACTTTGTACTGAGGTGTTTGGATATTGATGGATAGGTCACCTAATACTGGATTTTCTCTAATTGTTATATAGGTTTTGGGAATAGAAACGATAGTTAAGTGCTTTAGATTTGTGTTAAGAAAAGAAAAAAATATCAGGCCTGAGAAACTGGGCGCTAGGAACTCCAAAAACACTTCTTGAGGCATTTAGTATTTATGTGTCCTTGGATGGGAATGAAAAATGCCTACTAACTCTTGAAGTATGCAGACTAGTGATTTGGTATTTGGTTTAGAATAGCTAAGCATACCGATCTAAAATGGGAAACTTCTACACATTTGAATGATAGGAGAATATTTAAACTTGAAATGCGTTTGCCCTGATCAGGGTTGAGAAACAACTATTGCTCAGGTGAAAATGATGGTGAAGGGATACACACAACCTGGTTGTTCCTAAGTGGATCCTTCATGTTGAGAAATAATCAATAAGGGATTGTATAATTGTGGCTTTTAACATGTAAGCCTCATGCATAACCAATGAAAAAGAATACAATATTAAAGAAATCTCCTCTAATCTGTGGTTGTATCTATCAACATGTGAGGGGAAGCTCAGGTTGTGGTTTGAATGTAAATCTGGAATAACATTAACTGAGATTGACATACACATACAGCATTGTGGGCATTGGTCTTGAATTCAAATTATTATATTTGATTGATAGAATAGAGGAACTGATGACAGTGAGGCACATAAATGTAATTTATCAAGTCCACGTAAACATATAACAAGCATCTAAATACTCTTAAATACAGAATTGTTACAGCAGGGAAGATCAAGAGATAACGCCTTCCATTTAAAAACTGACATGTAGTTGAATTCAAACAATATACTTCACTACTCACTTCATTAGGATATCATAGTACTCAGGATCCAAGGAAGAAAGCATCCCATCCACGTCTTTTATAGCCATTATAGCTCTATGCACCGCAATCCAATGTGCTGACTACCAAAAAGAAACCAAGACAAAGGTAAATTAAAATTTTGTGATTTGAAGTTCTAAACAAATCAGAAAACTTCAATTAGAGTTATGTATGTAACAGAAGAATAGTCTTCGCTAATTGAACTTAGCTTAAAAAAATACAGTTTTTGCTGCCCAACAACCCAAATCAAATGTAAGCACGAACATTCAGGTATCAAAACTGTAAAATATTCAGATATGAAAAATATATAGTAACTTCAAGAAATTAGAAAACATCAACTGCAACAAATCTCCAGAGTAAAACTAATCTTTATTGCTAGTTGAAACAGCTAATTGAAAATAAAAAATTAAATCACTGTTTCAGTTCTGCAGCAACCAAATAAAACACAAGCACTAAATAACACTGAAGCATACATTTTTTTTTCTTCTGTTTTTTAAATAAAAACAGTGAACATAAAAATGGAGCGTAAGGGGGAAAACCTTGCAACGCTCATCACCAGTCATGGCATATGTGCCTTCAAGGGCAGTTTTAAGGGCTTCCACGGGTTTATACCTGAAAATTGAAATTGCATCAAAGACAATAATAATTTCAATTTAAAAATTAGCAATTGATTATTGATTCATCACAAAACAAATGATTGTTGGGGTTGCAATGCAACATATTAAAAAAAAAAAAGAGAGAGAAAGAAGAGAGTATTGTTAGTGTTACTGTTTGAGTAAGGTTTCGATCTTGCGGGATTTGTGTTCAATTCTGGTAATAATGGCCTCTGCATTATCTGCTTCAACGAACCCTTCTGCTCCCGCCATGAATTTGTTGCTGCTTGAGCTGGGTTGTGATTTTCTCGAGAAAATGTGTTATTTATTTTCCACCAAACCAAACAATGAGAAGAAGGTGGTGTTGGATCTCAGACACGGTGGCAGTACTTACTATTCTACCACGTAAGGTGGGCCCTACATTGACAAATAATAAGAGTTTTGGTGGGATATATTTTTATTAAAAATAATAAAATATTACATAATTCAATATATCATTTATATGCCCATTTGATGAAACATGTTGAAGAATTTTAATCTATTAACCTGCTCAACTCATTTTATTTAATCCGTATTTTAAAACATTTGGTAGGTTAATAGAGTCAATATTAAAAAATTAATGACAACCAAAAAATTAAAATTTAAGGATTTGTACATTTTTCCTTTTTAAATATAGTTTTTTGTTTTCAAAAATAGAAAATATAAAAATTTAAGTTTTAAATAATATTTTTAAAAATAATTTTTTATTTTTAAAACTAAAAATTAGAATTACTTTTAAGGTGTTTTTGTTTTTATTTTTTATTTCTCTTCTCAAAATTAATAAAAATTCAATTAAAAACAATTTAAAAATTTATATTGTTAAAAACTTTTTTTATTTTTGTCTTAAATACATTTTTATAAAATTATTTTAATATTTAAATTTTAAAAATTAAAATCAAAATTAAATTACACAAAGTCTAAGTTTTGTTTAATTTATAATATTTTATTTTGTTTAGATTTAAATAAATGAATTTAAGAATTAAGCTTAATTTTTTATTTGAGTCTAAGTTTCACTTAATGGAGCTATATAAAATATGTATTTATTTTTGTTGTTGTTTATAATAATCTTAACTGATTCAAACATAATTATCTTGAATTAAAGATGTCTTAAAAATGTGAATTAAGGATTTTGCTGACATTTTAGTAGAGATACTCTAGGAAATATGCATAAAGAATTGAGGGTGTTCTTTTTTTTTTTTTTCTGTAAAGGTTAGCATGAATTTCTTTTATTAATTCTTTTTTTTTTTTGTGAATTTTGAATGGATTTAAAATAATTTCATGACAGAAAAAAGAGTTACAAAACTTTCCTGTGAATTTTATTGTGAAAATATCTGCATAAATTATTCCATATAGATTCCCTTACAAAAGTTTCTTATGGATTTGTCTTCAAATAATTTTTTTACGGATTTTCTGGTGGAATTTGCTATGAAAATGTGTTTTCCTACAATTGTTTAATAATATTTTGTAGAAACAAAGCACAAGAAAGGTAAAATTGTAATAATAAAATGTCTGTATTTTAATTGTTAGATTTGTATTTTAAAAGTTCTCTCCATAATATAAATTCAGATGGTTTTAGATATAAAAGCAAAGTATTGTATATTAAAAGCAAAGCAACTGTTGGTGTTAACTTACTTTTCTATTTAGAATGTTGGTTGTTCCACCATTTGACTGTATTGGCTTAAAGAAAGGCTGTTTTGCCCTTTTTATAGTTTGCTCAGGCTACACAATGATAATTTATATATAATTACTTTTTATTAATTTAAAATTATATAATATTATAAATTTTAATACATTATAATATTAAATGTTACATTTTTCTTAAAAAATAACTAATTAATTTTTTATTACATATTATTAAATACACGATAAAAAATTTCATAAAAATCAAATTGTTAATCTTAAATCAAAATAAAAAAAATTGTATATGTATATCCTTGTTATAACGAAGAAGATCCACCTTGAACAATTTTTAAAATCTATTTATCCTTAATTGATACAATTTTATTAACCTCAGTCTGTTAAAATTGAGTTTACATATATAAAAATAATATTTTTATTAAAATATATATATTAATTACACTTTAAATTTCCAATCTAACAATTTTTTATTAAAAAAATATTACTTTTAAATATTTAAACCTAAGAGTTGGAATATGGTCGTGAAAAAAAGTGATTGGAATATGATAATTTCACATCTTAATTGATTTTTACATTTATCATATATACTTTTATTATATTATTCATTATATTTACTACTTTCTCTTTTGTCCTTTCTAAGATATGCACACTTCAAATAGTGTAGAAAAACACATTTTATTTTCTTTTAAGTAATTTGACACCAAAGAATCACTCAATAAATGATATCATATATGTTAGTCAAAATTGGATGGTGTTAGTCAAAATTTGTAGGCACCGTTTTTTTGTGTCTCAGTTTTCAAATTCAGTTGGCACCGTCCTCTAGATTTATCAAAATGCTACAGTAAGTTACTGTAGCAACATTGAAAAATTAACAAATCACTGTAACAGTTTTTTGCCTATAAAAGGCAACAAATTAACGAAGTCAGAGAGACACATTGTTCACGGATCAGTGAGAAAAAATTACTGAGAGAAAATTGTGTGTTATTTTGTAACTTTTATTCCATTTTGAGAGAGTATTTATTAAAAGAAAAAAATAGAGAGATTTATTACTCTTTGTCCTCATAATTTTAGAGGACTTTTTGTACTCTCTCTTTTACATAGTGAAATTATTTTGCTCGTCGTTGTCCGTGGTTTTTTTCTCCAATTTGGAGTTTTTCCCACGTTAAAATCCTATCTCCATTATTCTCTTCCTTCTCTTTATTTCCAATTAAATTCAATCTAGTCTTCCGCATTGCATTGATACCTCAACAAGTAGTATCATAGTAGTTATTTAATTGGAAATGTCTACCGTTACAAAATTTGACATTGAGAAGTTTGATGGCAAGATTAACTTTTTTATTTGGAAAGTTCAAATGAGAGCCGTTCTCACTCAGAACGGATTAAAGAAAGCTTTAGATGGAAAGTTAAAAAAATCGGCTTCCATGATCGATGAGTAATGGGATGAGTTGGATGAAAAGGCGCTTTCAGCAATCCAACTTTGCTTGTCCAAGGAGGTTCTACGTGAAGTGGCAGACGTAACCACCGCTGCAGAATTGTGGTTAAGGTTGGAAACTTTGTATATGACTAAAAGCCTCGCCAACAAACTTCGTCTCAAGGAGCGATTATATACATTCTGTATGATAGAAGGTACTCCCATTCAATCTCATCTTGATGAGTTTAATTTTATTATTATGGATCTGCAAAATATCGATATTAAAATCGATGATGAAGATAAAGCTGTTTTGTTGGTTGTCTCTTTACCTTATACCTACAAACACTTCAAAGAAATTATGTTGTATGGTAATAATGACACCTTATCCTTTGAAGATGTTAAATCTAATTTATTGTCTAAAGAAAAATTTGATCTTGAAATCCATTCTGAGGACAAGGGTGAGGGTCTAAGTGTTAGAGGTAGAACTCAAGTAAAAGGGAGTACTAGTCACAAAAAGAGTAGATCCAAATCTAGGGGACGAAAATCCAACATTACCTGTCGTTATTGCAAAAAATATGGGCATGACATTTTTTATTGTTTTATCTTAAAGAAAAAAGAAGAAAATAAACAAAAGAAAGAAAAAGGTAAACAACCTGTTGAAGCTGCTAATATTGAGACTGATTCTGATGGAGATGTTATGGCATATGTTATCTCTTCTGACAAGAGAAGCAAAAATAAGTGGCTTCTTGACTCTGCATGCACATACCACATGTGTGCTTATAGGGATCTATTTATCACTTTTGAACCAGTTAATGGTGGTATTGTCTTGACGGCTAATGATACCTAATGCAAAGTTTAAAGAATAGGTACTATTCAGATCAAGGCTCATGATGGTGTTGTCAGGACTCTGACTAATGTTCGTTTTATTCCTGAATTAAAGCAGAATCTCATCTCTTTTGGCACCCTTGAATCTCTTGGGTGCAAGTATTCATATGAAGGTGGAGTCCTAAATGTAACATCCTCGTTTTTCTAAACAGTTAATTTGTTAATATAATTATAATTTAGATTATAATTCTTCAATTTTTTGGAAAAAAATAAAAATAAAAATAAAAATAATTGCTCATTTATACCGGTTAAAATTGCTCTATGAGGATAAAAATAGTATTTTTAATTACGAAGAATTATTTTAAATAATAAAATTTATATTTTTAATTAGAAATAATATTTGGAGTGTAAAAATAATTATTTTGGTAATTATTGCTTATTTTTAGATTTTGGTTGATACTGTTTTATGTGTTAACAGGAACTGTGTGATTAGTTTTTTTCCTTTTTCTTTTTCTTTTTAAGTGATAACCAAGGAGATATTGATGTCAAAAATTATGTTATAATTATTTTAATTGTTTGGCATCAATTATTTTTTTTTTTGAGTTTTATTCATAATTATTTTATTTAATTACATTAAAACAGCAAAATAATTGATTATTATATTATTATTTCTTTACCTATTTGACTAAATTGACCACTTTCTTACGTGAGCCTTCTTCTTCTCCAAGTCCATAACCCCTTCTTCTCCCTTTCACCATTTTTATTTTCTTTCACTCATTTAAGCTTGTTTTAAGGTATGTTTTTAATATATATCCTTAATTAAGCTTAATTATTTGTTAATTATCATTTCATCCGATTAAAATTTTAATTTTTCCATGTTTTTTTTGCTGTCATGAACAGTAAAAATGGGTCTTACTTTGCTTTAAAATTATTGGTTTTAAACTTGCTTTCTTTTGTACTATATGTAGACTATGCATGGCTTATATTGTTTACATAATTAGTTTTTCAAAAATGTGATTAAAAAGCACTAAACCCTCACAAGGGTTGGCTGCCATGTGGTTTTAGAGAAGGTGAAGTGAGTGTTTTTCACTTCCATTTTATTCCTTTTATATTAGTTAGATGATAGAAACTAATTTTGTGTTAATCGGACTTTTATAGCAAAAGTTAGAAAATTTCAATTTTTACATATACATATAAGAGTATAAAATTAGCATCTCCTTAGTATTAATTATGTTTAGGCATGATTAATTGATTAGGTTGATCGTTTCGAAGATTGGATTGTTCGAGTTTTTCTAAAGAATCAGAAAAAAATAAAATTCATCCATACCTTCATCAAAGAACATCCGTAAGGTAAGGGGTGGGATGATTTTATTTCAATAAGTGGCATTAAGAACCATAAGGAAATAATTCTCTATTATTCTAATCAAATAAA